TTTTTCTCCCTGAATAATGTCTATTTTAAATCTTTTTATATATTTCACTTAATAAAAAAATGCAAGGTCGAAATGAGAATATTTTAACATGCTCCGATAAATTACAAGGATTTATTAAAAAACTTGAACTTTGGGAGAAAGAGTTGCAAAAAGGATGTTTAGAAATGTACAGAAGGACTAATTATATTACAACCAAAAACAAACAATCAATTCTGGATCTGGCCCAACAACATTTAAGTATGCTTCAGCTGAAATTTGATCAATATTTTTATTCCATTAATACGGAACAATACGATTGGTTTCAAAATCCTTTTGCAAACAATGTAATAAATTCTACGGAAGTGCTGCCTCTAAAAATTCGAGAGGAATTTACAGATTTGAAAAGTGACACGACTTTAAAATTATACTTTTCTGAAGTTCCATTAGATGTTTTCTGGATTTACGTTAAAAAAGAATATCCTCATATTTCTGAAAAAGCAATTTTAACATTACTTCCATTTTCTACGACATATTTATGTGAGCAAAGTTTTTCAACTCTATTATTAATTAAAAATGATAAGTGGTCATGCTTAAAAGATCTTGACCAAGAACTTCGTGTTGCGTTGTCAGATATTGAGCCGAATATAAAACTTTTGTGTTCATTGAAGCAAGCGCAGGTATCACATTGATAATTATTATGATTGCATATAAATAAATATGTTATGGTTTTATAATTGTATATTTTTCAAATTAAAAACAAAAATTTATTGTAAATTTTGTGTATAAATCAATACATATATACATTAGCTTTTGGTGTGCCACGAAATTCCAGAAAGATTTTTTGTGCGTCGCAGGTGAGAAAAGGTTGCGGAGCACTGACCTACGGCGCAGTAAGTGCACCTTTTTTTAGCCATGAGAACATTACATCAGCTTGCTATAAATGAGTTCATAAATTTTCCATTAGCAGCTGCAGTTCTACAGAGTGATTTTTACATGGATGATGTGCTAACAGGGTCCAGTTTATTGAGTTCGACAAAAGAGCTACAGCATGAATTAATTGAGATTTTAAAAAGTGCAATTATGACAATGCACAAATTGTGTAGCAACAATCCAGAGCTTGCAGTTAACGTTGATGATGAATACACATTTCAGTGCACGAATAAAGTATCAGCCCTTGGTGTTTCCTGGAAAGCAGATAAAGATTGTTTTAATTTTAAAGTGAAACTAGAAAATCAGTGTGAAATTACTAAAAGGCAATTTTTGTCAACAATAGCGAGAATCTTTGACCCACTTGGTTTATTGGGTCTTATATTATTTATAGCTAAAGCTAAAATATTTCTTCAGAAACTATGGGTTTTGAAGCTCAATTGGGACGATCTTCTACCTGAAAAAAAAAAGCCAAAGAATGGCAACGGTTTTTCTCTGAACTGCCAGTATGTGTAAATTAGAAATTAACAGATGCATTCTTGTCGCAGAAGCAATTGTTATTAAGTTACACGAATTTTGTGACGCCTCCGAGTTAGCTTATGGAGCTGTAGTTTATTGTAAATCCATCTCCCAATATGGTGAAGTGGTGATAAGGCTGGTAACAAGTAAATCAAAAGTTTCTCCTATAAAGCAAGTTACCATACCAAGATTAGAGTTATGCGCAGCTGTATTGCTTGCGAAGTTAATGACTTGAGTAATATCTGCTCTGGAACTTAATGTGAATAATGTATTTCTTTGGGGAGTGTCTCTATGATAGTCTTGGCTTGGCTGCAAAAGGAGCCCTGTTGTATGAAAACGTTTGTTGCTAATTGACTTGCGGTAGTTCAAGAAATGATGGAGGTGCGACAGTGGCATCACGTCCCATCTAAACAGAACCCTGCGGATCTCGTATCAAGAGGTGCTGATCCGGTCAAACTTCAACTGTGTAAATTGTGGTCCCCCATTTCTTCTTCAACCTGTGATGATTAAGTGCCAAGATGATATCCCTGAGGTGTCCGAAGAACTGTATCTTCGCGAATTAAAACCACCACTAGTAAGTGAAATATGTGCACTTATTAACACTTCTGAGCCATTAGATGTCATCAATAATTGTTTATCTTACAACAAATTGCTAAGAGTAGTGGCTTAGTGCAAGAGATTTTTGCATAACACCAGGCATCCATTACACGCGGAACGTTGACAACAAGTGAACTTTTTAGTGTGTTATTGTGTATTGTGAAAAATGTTCAAGGGACTTCATTTGTGACAGAAATCCAGTGCTTAGAAAAATGTGCTCCTATTCCTAATAATAGTAAACTATTGAATTTGTGTCCATTTTTAGATCATGATGGAGTACTCAGAGTGGGTGGCAGACTGAAAAACAATGACTTATGTGAAATGAGAAAACATCCTATGACTCTGCCAACTAAACATAATTTTACTGTTCTTTATTTTCATGCAGGTGCTGAAACAACACTATCACTTATAAGGAGTAAATTTTGGATTGTTTCTGCAAGAAATGTAATTAGAAAAATTATATTTAATTGTATGATTTGTAAAAAGGTAAATTCTAGGCCTGTGCAGCAACAGATGGCTGATATAACAGCTGCGAGAGTGACCATATCAAGAGTTTTTGCTAGAACAGGACTCAATTTCTGTGGTCCATTTGTGGTAAAAAATTTTGTAGGTAGAAGTAAACAGGTAAGAAATGTATTTGTATGTATTTTTGTATGTTCCACTACGAAGGTCTTGCACTTGTAGTTGTAAATTGTAGTTGTAATTGTTGAAATTGTAAATGATTTAACAAGTGCAGCATTTACAGCAGCACTTGAACGCTTTATTGCCAGGTGAGGTAAACCCTCAGATATTTTCAGTGATAATGGCAGAAATTTTGTGAGTGCTCACAGAAAATTAAGAGTGATTCTAAAATCTTTATTTAAGGATAAAAATGAGGAAGAAATCAAAGGTTATTTGGCTACTGAAGAGCATGACATTGGCATTTTAATCCTCACTTCTACTCCTCACTTTGGAGGTTTATGGGAAGCTAGTGTGAAATTCCCTTAAATATTACTTGAAACGTGTGGTGGGGAAAACAACAATTCTAACTTATGAAGAAATTTTTTACTCCTAATTGTTCAAATTGAATTTATACTTCAATTCTCGCCCTCTTTATCCCATATCAAATTGATCCAAATGATGTAGAGGCATTGGCACCTGCTCACTTTCTTATTGGACTCATCTTTAATTGCATTGCCTTATGAAGGATTATTGTTCAGAGATTTCCTATTAACAGTTAAATTTTAACTAGTTGGCAAATGGTTCCTGTCAAATTCTTAAACTTCAAATTTTACTACTTCCGGCCAAGAATGTACTTTTGGAATCTTGCTGAATATTTAATGAGGAGGAGCGGTACTTAAACCACGAAGTTACTTACTGAGTCAGAGAAAATCAGGGTTTCTGATTTACGTGCCTCTGCCTTTTTGGCCACTCTCTCTCTCAAAGCTGTTATTACGTTCGGCCATACTCAGGCCCTTGCTAAGCTTCGTAGTAAAATAAGTTAAGAGGCCAACTCAAATTGAAGCTTGATAGCTTCGGCTATACTTGTTTAGTTAATCTTAGTTTTAGTTTAATTCTTAGTCTTTTAAGTTCAAGTCCAAGTGTGGGCTTTGCTTGTACACTCCCAGGCGGAGTTTCGTTAAATCTTATTGGAATAATAAAAGGTTAGTTACCCTTCTATCTTGTGTTTCTTGTCACCTAACACAAGCGATTATTCGCTTATCAGTTCTTAGATTCCTGACTTCTAACACTAACTTTTCAGATTTCGGAATGGTTAGGTCATTTTTTGAAGCAATTCCACTTTTGTTTAATGGACTTCGAAACATACTTTCACTTTGTAGATCCTTTACATATTAGTAAATATATATCGGAAATTCTATTTGATATAATCGAAAGTTCAAGCTTAACAGTGCTCTAACATTCTGAAAAAAAAAAAAAAAAAAAAAAAAAAAAAGCCGGATCCAATCCGAAGATTAAGAAACAACACAATCTGCAACATTAACTGAATTAGATAATTTTAGCTTAGCTTATACCGTCTGTTATACATTAAACGCGCATGTGTAAATGTATTTTGCGCATGCGCACACGCATATTTGCAGCTGTAAAGGTCTTACGCGCACGCGTCAACGCCATGCATGCGCAGAAAGTTTGTAGCTTTGACGTCTGGATTATAGATCATTCCGGATTATGGGTGTCTGAATTAACAACTTTTGACTGTATTTGTACTTTAATGAATTTTTCATACAATTGTCAGATTATGATTCTGAAGTAATAAAACTTCATGAGAATATTAGACATTGAAAACTGATAAATCACTTGTGTGAAAATTCTTCTCGCATACCAAATATGACTAAATTATAAACTGAAAGCTCTAATCAATAAAAGAATATTATTGAATGTGATTTAAGGGGGGAAAAATCAACCTTAAATTTTTCTAATTTATTTGCCGACCTCAATACAAACTGAAAATGATGTCAGAAAGGGCATATTTTGAAACTGAATTTCTTGGTCAATTTTTTGGTTGCATGGGAATCAAGCCTTTCATGTTTCCTTTTTATAAGATGTACAGCATTTTCCCACATATAAGTATAGGAACCAAAGAAATGTTAAGTTTTACAAAACTGATTTCTTTAAATATAAAAATATTGAAACATGAATCTTTGCATCATTTAAAACATTTCTGTAACTGGAAGTATATGCCTATGAGAAACAGTTGTGAAATTTAAAGGCTATAGATTTTTGCAGACAGGACGTACATTTTTCTCTAAAACTGCATGATAAAAGTGTGAGGCAAAATAAAATTTGTCCTTTTTTTACACAATATATTTAATAGATAGAACTTAAAGCAAACTTCAATGCCAGATGAGTTGTATTTTAGAAAAATGCATATTACATCATATTAATCTTAAAATTATAAATTTTTTCATTAGATTCTATATTGCACAAATCTCACCTATTATGAGTGTTAATATTAATAATAATATATAAGATAATGTTACCTTTACTTCTATTGATGTGCCAGTAGCAACTAAAGTTAGTTCTGCTGTTGCAGCTTTTTTATCTTTTATAATATTTTTCTTCCTAAAAATGATTTTAATATATGGTTATACAATATCCTTGCAAATATGAACAGCTATATATGCATACAATTATGCCAGAATTAGATAACAGTCTTCATTGCTCACAATCAATATCTGACTTAATTGGAAATCACTGTTACCAGTTTTGTGTTTTGTATAAAATTATTTGGAAAATTAAAATTTCATATTCATTTCTTAAATCGTAGAATCTTTACAAATAAGAAAGCTTGAAGCAACAGTGTAAAGCAAAATTAGGTTTTATGCATATACACCAGAACTGTATGCAAAATAAAAATCCAGTAAATTAGAAAGAAATTCAGGAATTTATTTTGCATCACACCTGTAAAAGATCACATGGCAAAATTTTTTAGACTATCGTCCATCAAAAAGATAACATCTCAAACATATTAATAAATTGCCCAACTACCTATACTATTTTTAAAAGTTAACAATTATAAAAACTAGCTAATGTTAATAACATTCAAAACTGAATAACTGATTAAAATACAGAACACCAGAATTGTCAGGACATCGGCAGTTCTGGACTTTAGATATGAATTTAAATCTAGCATGATGACATGTAGAAATTATAAAAGATATTCTTTATTAATATTTCTTTCAAGAAAGAAGCATTTTGCATAAAGAAAGACTTTTTCCTAAATCCCCCATCAGAAATTAAAATGTGACTCAAAGAGAAATTGATGATATTTTCTGGATATGAAATCATACTACCAATATTCGGCATTCTGTTAATTGACTGATGACTAAGGCATTGTCATCACAGTGTACTACTTCAGCTATATCACTTTCCTTTAGCATTTATTTGGACATACCATTAATCAGGAAATATTCCTTTTTCTAATGATACATGAAAACCATCAAATTCACGGCCCTCATCATCATGAAATTTGGTAGATGGTTGTAATCTATACTAAGCAGTTTTAAAAATAAAAATATCTGTATATATATCGTCTCATGATCTTACAATACCATACATACCAGATTTTATATTAAAATAGTTCTAGAATTCTTGGTCTTACTTTGGCATCAGTTTTTAAAAAGGTACTTTATATCTGCATTTCAGTGAATGCAAATTTCCAATATCCATTGGCCGACTGGTATATGCATAGTTTCGGGGAAAGAGTAAAAAAGAAACATTTTCAGTTACTAAAACTGTAATTTTGATAAGATTAATAATAGGTAAACTAAAATAATGAGGAGCTTCAAATCAGAAAATTAAGAGAAAAACAAAATTTGCCATTTTTACTGAACTTAGGTTTCTCAGAATCTAATTCATTCCCTTCTTCCTGCTGCTATGCCAACAAAAGAAAACCATAATGAGCAATATTGGTTAATCCCTCTCTAAATTAATATTTTAAGGCTTTGTTTATTGTTTACAACAAAACAATAATAGACTGGAACAATTACTCGCAGGAAGGTTATACTCAAAGTGTTCTAAACAGAGCTTCTGGTTAATATGAATGTCCTAACAAAATAGTAGAAATAGACAGAAGCATGCTTTCAAAGCACAAAAACAAAGCAATTAAAATTATGATTATTTATTAAATAAAAAAGCATCAGTTCCTTGAAAACTCAGGAAAAACTGACACAACTTTGGCAAGACTTTCACTAACTTTCATGCTTCAATGGCAGCCAACTAGCAAGGTCGATGGGATAATACATAAGTATTGAAATAATATAGCAAAACATATATATATATATATATATATATATATATATGTAATGACAGCACAACATATTTGAAGCATTGAATATAGAACATTATGATGTAGACATGCAGAAATGCTGATGGCGTAGATATTTGATGCTTAGATCATCCATCCATTTTAAAGAAGAAACAGTCGACCCGGATTAAATTTCATTATGTATTATATAATTATTAAAGAACATTTACAATTTTAATACTATAGTGATAGAACATTGCTGCAGCGTCTTAATAGGATGAAAGCGTGAACCAGAAGAGAGAGAGTATCGCAGTAGTAATGCAGAAAAAGAAGGGAGGAAGTCCAGTTTCAGTTCGAGTTAGTTTTGGTTTACAATTATTTTGATTGGGCAAGAGATATCTGCAGTAAGCGTTATGTAAGATCACACGATTAATTTGAATGATGCATTAAATTTAGAAGTTTCCTTTCATATTTTGTATCTTACATATATATATCTATATATATGACAACACAAATAAAATGATGCAGCCACCAAATGTTATTTCTTTTTACATATTTTTTTTTTAAATTTAGTGAATATATATATATATATATAACAAAATTTGTCTGGGAAATGTTGCCATACATTTTCGGGAATTCCAAAGATACCTAATTTAACATATTTTAACTTTCAACATGTCAATTTGTTGCCAAGTGGCAAAGCATAAGATACTTAACTTTTCTTTTAAATTTAATCTGCATGCAAATGGGTTTCTTTATCTCTTTTATTAACTACCAGCCAGACCTGTAAAATGATAACAGCCAGATTTATGAAAAGTATAATATATATATCTTTTTAACAGCAATTATTTTAGGAGCTAGCCACACTGGGGACTAGTTACTTAAAAAGTGAGGTTTGAGAATTCTTCTGGGCTAAAAAATGTATGGCAACACTTAGCATTGTATCGGAATTTCAAAGCTATGCTGTTTTGCAAAACAGAGAGATTTTACTGCTGAATTTTATATGGCATAAATGATGTTTAATAGCAAAGTTAAGGAGACAAAAACCAAGATAAGTTGACAGGAGTGAGATTAACCCTTTAACTGTCGTGGAAAACATACAAGATTAACTTCCCAGTGCCACTATTTTTTACACGGGTGAGCGTAGTTATGCAATGTATTAGGAGGAAAATAAGTGCAAGTTTGCTGTCTAAAAACTGTTTACTTTCACAAAATAAAGAATAAATGAAAAAATTCAAAGTACAAAATTTAATGTTCAGAGTATAATAAAATAGATAATAAAGAAGATCCCAAAAATAGAGTTTTGATCAATTTATTTTTAAAAAAGTAAAGTGTAATATCAGGTTTCAGTCTTATACCTTGTAAAATTAGTATACTTAAAGAAACATATATTTATTCTGAATTGGTTGGATGCCATTATTTTGTTCTTGGTTTTTCTTTTGCAGGATGTTGGTGAATATACTAGTCTGAAAAACAGTTGGTTTCAGTAACAGTAATAATATGAAGCATGAAGTTCATAAAAAAATAATTAAAAAAATCTGATGTGTACACCTTGTACAGAATATTAAATTATATGCATTTTTTCCTGCATTTAATTTAAATTTATTGAACTGAATTAAATCTACTTCGTCGATAGTGCATAAACCACAATAGAATAAATGCACTCTTTAAAAGTCACTATATTTATTTACCATAGTGACACTCTGGTGCTAGATTCACTTAACAGCGTTACATCTCGTTTATTTCATAACTCAAAATGCACAAAAAGTATATCATCTGAATAATTATCTAATCTTTGCCACATGTTCTATTCAAATACTATAATAAATCTAAAATGATGTATAAAAGAAATTAAGCAAATGAAAAAGAAAGTTTTTCATAGACAATTCAGTGCCCCTTACCTAATGTGCATGCTCGACTTGTAAACATTCTCCTCCGTCTGAGACAGACTGGTGACAATATTTGCTGCTATTATGAAACACTTATTTTAGAAGTCAAACAACAAAAATCAGTGTTATATTTACAAATTTTTACAGGACTAGTTTCGATGGTTTTACCAAACCACCATCCTCAGCTGCAAAACCGCAAATGAACAATTCTCTTCCGTTTCTCGACATTCTGGTCACATGTAACACATCCAACTTCAGTACTACAGTTTACCGTAAACCTTCATCGGTTTGCCTTCCACCACACTTTAAATCATGTCATCCGACTAAACAAAAGTTAGCTTCATTTTATTCCTATGTTTTCAGTGCTCTTCAAGTTTGCTCCTCCAAACTATCCCTTGATGAAGAACTAAATTATTTAAAAGCAATAGCTTTGACAGGGGTTAAAATTTAAAAGACAGGATTAAAATTTAAAAGCAATAGCTGTGACAGGGCATTTTCACCCAACATTATTAATCAAGCAGTTAAAAAATTCTCATCTCAACACACTAAAAGGCACACTCTTGTTTTAGGAGATTATAAAAATTCTGTTGTTGATTCCTTCTTTCATTCCCTTCTTTCCATCAATTAGCTATAAAGTTGCACTTATTTTGGCAGAAATTTAACTTTTGGTTGTTTTTATTCTCCCATCAATAAAATTCCGAGTTCCATACTCAAGGACCCCATTCCGGATATGAATTCCTGGAGTATTTATAGGATTCCTTGCCAGTGTGGTTTAATTTACATTGGCCAAACTAAGAGAGCCTTAAAATTTCGCGTCAAAGAACATGAGGCATATGTTAGAAAAATGGAAACACAGAAGTCTTCTGTTGCTCAACTCAACATTGTTGGTCCGAAAATCACACTTTCAATTTTTCTGCTGCCAAAATTATTCAAAAAACATCTTCCATTGGAGAACTGGATTTTCTAGAGGCATTTCACATTCATAAAAATCTTTCTGTTCTAGTTAACGATCCTAATTCCAATCCAAATTTGCCTTCAGCTTTTAGAGAAATTATGTTTTAGTAGTTCTGGTTTCGCCAACAAATGGCGCCACTTGCTTATTCTTGTCCAGGCTTTCTTATCTTATCTAAACATTATTTCCTATCTTGTTCATTTCATTTGCGGTTTTGCAGCTGAGATGATGGTTCGGTAAAACCATCGAAAATAGTCCTGTGAAAATTTTGTAAATTAACGCTGATTTTTGTTGTTTTGACTTCTGAATTAACAGTTGAAAATTTAAAATATGAAAATTCAAATTTTCATATTTTAAATAATAATAATAATAATAACCACAGATATTAATAATAGTAATAAACCACAGATATTAGAATGTATTATTAAAAAAATCTGATGTGTACACCCACATGAACTTCCTTGTACAGAATATTAAATTATACGCATTTTTTCTTGCATTTCATTTAAACTTATTGGATGAATTAATTAAATCTACTTCGTCGATATAGCGCATAAATCACAATAAAATAAATGCACTCTAATAAAATTCGCTATATTTTCCTTATCGCAGAGACACACTGGCGCTAGGTTCACTTAACAGCGTTCCATCTCATTCATTTTATAACTCAGAATGCATATAAATTTATATCATTTGAAGAATTATCTAATCGTTGCCACATGTTCTATTCAAACACTATAATAAATCTAAAACGATGTTAAAAAGAAATAAGCAAACAAAAGAAACTGTTTTCACAGACGATTCAGTATTTCTCATTCAATTAATTCCAATCCAAATTTGCCTTCGGCCTTTAACCCTTTGCGGCATGGTGGGTCAATATATGTCCCACCTAATTAATATTTATTTTCTCAGTTAGCAATTTCCGTTAGAAAATTTTCTAATCTTTTTAAAAATAATCTATTTTAGTTATTATTTTTCTCTCAGTATGTTACTACTACTACTATACCAGGGCTTAAGTTTATAAGCAAAAAATATTCAAAATAGGATCACAAGAGTGATATATCCATGTATCTCGCATTTTTCAAATATTTTAAAAATTTTGGTATACAATTTATGATATGTATGATTCTTTTTAATATTCAAAGGTATTTTATTTTCAAAAATCTTAATTGGATTCAATATTTTATAACATTAATTTTGCAGTTGAAATAAGTGGGTTAAAATTTGTCCCACCACACACTTGAATTTCCGCTCAATAGATGGCAGCACTCACGATTATTTTTTTTTCTTTTCTTTTTTGCATCTACTTTTTTCGTGATTGCGCGCTTTTACATCCGTTGTATGCTCTGATGTGCTAAAATGTCTAGAAAAAAAATTAACAACTCAGGAAAGCTTTGGATCTTTTTGCTGAATTGCCATCCGATTGCGACTCAAATGCTTCAGATGTCAGATTCAGATGAAATTGAAATCCAGGAGAGAATAACTGAGGTTGAAGTTATTGCTGAAGAAGAAAGGGAAGTAGTTATAATTTGTTTCGCTTTTTAAAGACACAGACCCATCTATGCATGTGGCACTGTAAATATGGATCGGAAGTATCTACCCAAAATTTAAAACAAATTTATGTCAAGAGATATATAGACTTTTCAGTTAGCGATGATTCAATTTATTGCATAAAATGGAAGGATAAAAGATCCGTTTTTCTATCCTGTCTTGCTTGGAAAAGGCAACTGAAATGAAAGAAATTAATAGAAAGAACGAGATGGAAAGACAAAAAAAAAAAAAAAAAAAAAAAGTACTGTGCCCAAACAGCATTATTTCATACAATAAGAATATGGGATATGTCGACTGATTGATCAACTGAAAGGACTATATGAAATAGACCAGCAAAAGCAAGAAATGGTGGCACATGATTTTTTTTTTTTTTTTTACTTTTTAGATGCGAGTATAGTAAACACATTTATTTATTCAAGTTTGTTCGCGAACCTGATCATGATGTAAAAACAATGAAAGATTTTCTTCTCTCAGTTTACAGAAGGTCTAATGGCACTTGCAGGCAAGAAAGAGCTTAAAAGAAAACTGATATTCCCAGTTCAAATAAAAACTAAAAACCCGTTTGTACAACCAGAAAAGAGACTAAAAAATGTAAGTAAAACACCAAAGAGAACGAGCAGGAGAAGATGTGCATATTGCAGCATATCCAAAGAAGAACGACGAACATTTTGGATGTGTGAAACATGTGAAGTGCCTCTATGCTTACAAAAGAATGAAACAACATGTTTTTCAAAGTTTCATGAAAAATGACTTTTTTTCAATTTTAATCATATATAAATGTTTTTGAATCAAGTGCCAATTTTAATATTTTATTTAGTATCATATGTACGAGTATCAAATTTTAATCTTAAAATAATATTCAAGAAAATATTTTCTTTTGTTCCTAAAATTTAAAAATGTTAAATATATACTATATGCAAAATGTGCATATGCAAAATTTTACAAGTCATGCATATATGCAATAAGTATTTATTTGCATTTTAGAGTGTTTATTATGAATATTTTAGAATGCACGCTTTATTTTGTTTATTCATTCCACATATGATTTTTTTTTCCCTGCTATACACCAATATGCTATAAGACATGTGCTAGTTGCATGGTGGGACAAACAGTATCCCGCCTTCCACCGTAAAAAATAAAAGAGCAGAATTTTTTTCAAGCCTTAAAGGCACTTAAGTAAGTCCATCTGACTTATTCTAAGGCATTTTTTTAAAGATTAAAATATATTTTAAATATGCGTGTCGCAAAGGGTTAAAGAAATTATGTTTTAGTTCTGGTTTCACCAACAGATGGCGCCACTTGCTTATTCTTGTCCAGGCTTTCTTATCTTATCTAATCATTATTTCCTATCTTGTTCATTTGCGGTTTTGCAGCTGAGGATTGTGGTTCGGTAAAACCATCGAAACTAGTCCTGTGAAAATTTTGTAAATACAGTCAAAATTCGTTAATTCGGACACCCATGATCCGGAATGATCTATAATCCGGACCTCAAAGCTAAAACTTTCTGCGCATGTGCCGCGTTAGCACATGCGCACTAAAATATACCTAAAGGTTTGTTTGATATACACAATGTTGTAAAAGCCAGAAAATATTACTTGATTCAATGGCTGTAATAAAGAAGTTGTATTTTTTGGGCAAAAAGACTATTTCTACTTTTTTGTGTTTTAAATTTTGAAGATGACCAGGTGCATTATCTATTAAAAGAAGAGTCTTAAAAGGCAATCCTTTTTTACCTAAATAATTTTTGACATCTGGGACAAACATGGTAAGAAATCATTCATTGAACCTTATGGCAGTGACCCGTGCTTTCCTGTTAGGCATCCAATAAAAGGGAAGGTTATTTATATTTGTTCCTTTAAATGAACATGGTGTTTTTGATTTGTTAATAACCAATGGTTTCATTATATAATTGCCTGAAGCATTGCAACAGAAAAAAATTGTATGACTTTTCACTACCTTATGACCACTAGCTGATTTGCAAGGTACAGTCAAAAGTCGTTAATTCGGACACCTATAATCCGGAATGATCTATAATCCGGACCTCAAAGCTAAAAACTTTCTGCACATGCGCACAGGCGTTTTACGCGAGCGCGTAAGAACTTGACTACTGCGCATATGCGTGTGAGCAAGCGCAGAATACGTTTTCGCGTCCACGTTTAATGTATAACGGACGGTATAGTTAGCTAAAATTATCTTTATTGATTCTGAAGCATTTCAGTTAATGTTGCATGATTGCGTTGTTCCTTAATCTTCGAACTGGGATCCTGGCTTATTATTTTTTGCAGACTGTTAGAGCAATTTTATAAAAATTAAGCTTAGAACTTTCGATTATGTCAAAAATGGAGTTTCCAAAGGATCTACAAAACGAAAGTATGTTTCGATGTCCATGCCAAACAAAAAGTGGAATTGCTGCAAAAAATGGATAAAGACAGAAGAAGGTGACAGAGAGGTTACTGAAAACGAAAAAATTTCGACTCGACAAGTTAGTCGGTATTCTCGGACACAGCAATTACAGGACTTGAACAGCGGAACTTT